AGGTTTAGCAGGCTGAGATGGTCAGCCAGTTCCAGGCCATGATGCAGTCCCACTGGAACGGGGCCCTCCAGCTCTTCACCATCAGCAGCACTTTCCTCCAGCCTTCACCCAAAGCCCCACACCAGGAGGCTGAAGCAGACCCCAAGTCAGAATTTCTGCCCCCCTCCGACCCGCACAAAAAAGACCCCAAAGGGGGAGATTCTCTGCAGCAACACAAATGTTGCACGTATCCGGCCCAAGGGCTGTAGTTTGAGGACCCCTGATTTACTGCAATACAAAAAAATACAAATAACTTTCTGCAGACCACCAAAATTTTCTCACGGACCACCAGTGGTCCACGGTCCACAAGTTGGTGACTGCTGATCTACAGTATAAATACAGTGGAAACACAGAAGAAAGTTGGCTAGGTGAGGAATTCTCCAGGATTAGTAGAGGTTACTTCTTGTCCACCATAATCAATTATAAAATATGCAGCTGAAGACAAAAACTCATCCAATCAATCTGAACAGGCTGGTTGACCAGGGATGACAGAATCTACTCTTCAATTCAATTAGGGGAAAAACTCTTATTTATAGAGAAGTTTTTGGTACTCTTGTCTTCACTATCACAAAGAGATGGATACAGCTTTTCTGCTCCTCCCACATCTACAGATAAATTCAACCCTCCTCAGAGAAGGTGGTTTCCTTGAAATTCAGAATACAAAGTAGAATATACAGGAGTTGTATTCTGTATACTGTATGCTAAGGGAACAGTGGTGAATGGTGCCTCTCTCCAGCCATAGGACAACAGACTGGGTGGTTAGAACTGCAGACATAAAAATTTCCTTATGAATCTGATGTCCAATTGTGTAGGGTTAGAATAGCACAAGGAAGGTTTTGTGGGAATCCCTATGCTGTAGGCATCTCTCTAGGATACATGTTTTGTACAGTAAAACCAGATTGTCTCTGCAAACTGATCTTAAAAGTAGCCAGGTCCCACCGTTTCCTCATATTCCCTATTTGTCCAATAAGTGTCAGCATCAAATTACAAGCCCAGCAGTTGGAAAATTGCTAAGCTGGAAAAAGAGCTAAATTCCCTAGGCCAACGGCTGTCAAGGCAACTAAACTAGCAGCAGCATAAACAAACTTTAATTTAAAAGTCAAAAAGCCCTTCTACAGGGACTGGGTGTAGAGACCTCAGCGCTGTTGCAAAGCAGGCGAACTCTGGGGAAGAAATCTTTCCATTTGGGGCAGAGAGGGTGTATTGTCTCCACAAGCTTCATTTGCAGGCATTCTGCATAGAAGTTATGCAAGAGTTGAAGCTGGAGGGAGCTAACCAAAGGGAGCCCACAGAGTACACCCACCCACTGCTTTGTGAACAATTTACAGACCTCAAGTGGTTGCAAAAGGGACATTTGCCAATCCTGCTAAAATCAGCTGGCTTAGTTGCAAGTTTGACATAAGATGCTCTGAGGCTCATACAAAGCAGTTGAAAAAAGTTATGGAAGATCATCAAGTTTCACCCTGGCTGACAGAGATGTTAATGATCAAGCAAATATGTTGTTCTCTGCTTATTAATTGGGCTGTTACAGAAGCATCCAAGACTTATGACAGTACAACCTTCCTCAATCGGATGCCCTTCTGGATCTATCAGAATTACAGCTATGATAGTGCTGACCTGGGACTGGTTTGCCTTCTGGGAATTGTAGAATTAATAATCCAGCCAACGATTTTCTGGCATTCATCGAGTTGAGAGAGGTTTGCCTGGAAAGGTCAAACCTTTGCCGATGCAAACGTTGTTGCAGCACAGATGTTGCTTTGTTGCAGCAGAGATGTTCACTTTGAACACATGCATACCTGAAGGCTGGATTTCCACAATGCGCTAAGTCATCAAGCAATTTGCCTCATTTGGACATAATGCAGGGCTGAAATCCAGCATGTTCTAACAGGTTCTGGAGAGACCGCCTACTGCCAATTACCTCCACTCGACCAATTAGATCCCACAGATTAGGCCTCCTCC